AAGGAGCATACGGAGCTCCCGGGATTTGTACATCTCTGTTTTAATGCACGATTTTGTTTTTATAAATATAAATAAAGGGATGCACAGATACCAGTTTTGCGAGTACTGGTACTTGCCGAGTACTTACAAGTACGAGTACTGATACATTTTTGTTTATTGTCATGTGACAGTTTTTTTATTGTCATGTGACAGTTTTTCTAAAACAATACAGACTAATGATTTCAGGACAGTGGTGGAGTGCCAGAGCCAGGTCCCAGCTGCAACCGCTGCAACCCTGGTAGTTCTCGTGAAAATGCCAAGTATCTGCACTGGTACTTGAAAGGTATCTGTGCATCCCTAGTTTTCACTGCTAATACAGCGCTGCATTATGATGGTTGAAGCCTCATATGAAACTCCCTAGTGGGTGGTAAAATAGAATTCTAAGGATTAGACCTCTAATAGATATCCTTTAATGAGCCTTTATACCCAGACCCACGGATAGTAGGGCTTTAACCAAAACTGATCCCGCCATCAGTGAAATGTCACTGAAGTGTAAGCTCTCATTTTTGCTCCTTCTTAGGCATCATTTGCTTAGAAATAGTCTACTCTTGTTAATTATGTATTTATATGGTAAATTATTTAATTGGTGTTTTTTTACTCTTTTTTTTTTGTGTATTTGAAAATAGCTGAACTCCAGGCAAGCAGCTAAATACACAGTTTAAATATGTTTTCCTGCCAAAGGATTTTGTATTGCTGTTTGTTCATTTCTGAAATGTGCACAACCTTGCCGGGTGGCAGACACACACTGGTGCCCTGACGTCTCTCTGCTACAGTTAAAGGGACTCTGTCGGTTACTAAGATGCCATACCTGCAAAGGAGGAGAGGAATACGCTGCCGAACATTGCTGTACAGCTGACTGATCCTTGGCTGAATCTTATTCCAACGCTTCCTCTTCTGGGAGTGCCGATCCCTTGGGTACCCTGCAGCACTCCTACTGAACTCCATCTCATTACTGTATGCTTTAATTGGCTGTAGTCAGCAGGAGAAACCACTGATTGATGTGGGGGACCCAGGAGAACAACACTCTCAGTGTCGGAAGAAATTTCAGCTGAGGTTTACACAGCAGTGGAGGGGTTTCAGAAGAGGTAAGTATTTCCTTCCTTCTTTGCAGATATGGAATTTGTAATGGTGAAATATAGTTGGTGTCAGTGGGAAGAATAGTGCCCCATTTTTGATATTAGTGAGAGGAATGGTGATCTATAGTTGGTGTTAGTGGGAAGAATAGTGCCCCATCTTTGATATTAGTGGGAAGAATGGTGATCTATAGTTGGTGTCAGTGGGAGGAAGCTTACCTTATCATTGGTATTAGTGGGAGGAATAGTGCTACATCATTGGTGGTATCACTGGGAGATATACTGCCACATTGTTGGCATCAGTAGGAGGAATAGAGCTGCATTTCTGGTATCAATAGGAGGAATAGTGCCCCATTGTTGGTGTCAGTGGGAGAAATGGTAATCCATTGTATGTGTCACTGAGAGGAATAATAAGTACTATCCTTATCGCACTCCTTACTGATATGTCCCTTGTTAAAAGCCTGATGAAGGGACCCTGTGCGGTCCTGAAAGCGCTTGTTGGTCATATGACAAAAAACTTCAATAAATGAAGCTTTTGCTATCCTAAAAAGACTGGTGTGCTGGTGACATTTCTACAATTTTACTGAGAGGAATAATGCCCCATAATTCATGTCAGAGGAGGAATAGTGCCCCATGGATGGTGTCAGTAGAAGGAATTTGGGCTTTAGCAGTCTTAGTGCTTCCAATGCAAAAAGTACATTTGCCTCCTATGCACTTAGTGGATATAGTGCAGTTGGCCACACATCTGGATTCCCCATTCTTCAACCGGAAATCCTGGTGTCAGTAATATGTTACAATAGTTTTACAAGCCCAATCTGTTTTACACACATCCCATTTGCAGTTTTAGCCCCTGATGCATATGGGGTAATCTCTGCACTCATACCAGCTTCCCCATCCTTGCTTTCCAATCTTGCTTGCATTCTTTGCACATAGTATTTAAGCCTTACTTTAGCCAATCATCATTTGCATTCTCCCTCTTCACTGTGTACAACATCCCTGAATGTGCACGGTGAACACCTGCTTTTTAAAGTATTCCCCTGCTTCTCTCTGCTGTGTTAAAAACATTGGTGTGCTAAGGCTTGTGAAGATCATACCATGTCAGCAGACAAATAGATCATAACATGTTATCTATTATAATACATTCAGATAGGTAAAGGATACTCTGACTGTGAAGCTCTCAGAAAGTGCTGCATTAGTTTCCTTCTGTCATGTAATATGTTGTCTGTGGCTACAAACGGGAAAGCTCAGGGTCAATAATCTGCTTTTAACCACAGAATGGAAAAAAGGTCCACTCACAAAGGAATATCAAAATGAAGAACCCATCGTGTCATATGACATGTTAGGCAATGTACAAGAGCAATTAAGGCTACCGATAAAAATCAAATGGTGCCATAAAAGGAAGATTGATTGCACTGAGATGCCAAATGTATAAAGGTTTGAGTTTTAATAATGAATGCTTGATTGCCAAGTTATTTCAGTCAATGGTTTTATAGCTATTCATTTCAGAATTCTAGATACAGAGGGGCTGCTCATGCAAAACTGGTATTTAAATGTTTGGTAGATGGTGGCATGTTGAATGGTGGACCAGTAGTTTTCAGAGTCAGCATCTTGGCATAGGACAGGCACCATTCAGTATCGATGTTTAGGTGCGGGATAAGGTTAGCAAGCTTCTATAGGAATGATCTCAGTGTTATAGATTAGGTTAGAGGTTACATTAGCGTTAGGGACAAAGTTTTGGAGGGTGTAGGAAGGGTGAGGCGAATGAGGCACTCGCCTCGGGTGCAGCTACGAGGGGGTACAGCCAGGCCCGGCCTTTGGGGTGTGCGAGCACAGGACACCATGGCAACAGGGGTGCCAGGCAACCAACACAGCTTGGTCTCGGGGCGGTAGGGAGTAGAGAGGCGGCACAGCATGCAGCTTCTCCTCGGATCCCCACTGATCTCCCCTGCCTTTATGGTCAGAGGCAGCGGGGATCTGAGGAGAAATGGAGCGTTTCAACTGGCGGGGGGGGGGGGGGCACCCCCCTGGGGGGTGG